GCTTACAAGTATGACCAGAAACCTAGCCGGTTAAAGGGGACAATTCAATAGCAACATAAGGATTCTACCAGAGATTTTAGCAGTGCATATTACAGATTTGTTGCGAGTCGCCCCATTAACAGGGACAACACGGGCCCATCTGGGGCAGTGGTATTCTCAGCAGACTCTTTACCAGCATGCAAGCATATTTAGTTAGCTATTCCAGGGTTGTATCTTATCTAACACTCGTCTCACACGCTCAGCAAACCTCCAAGCCATCGAGATGTGTGCACGCGAGTGCTGCTCATTGTTTTTCCCAAGCCCTAGGCCTACGCCCTAGACTCTAGGGTTACATTTCCTTGTGCTTAGAACACAGGTGAAAGCTGTATATGCTGTGTAGCAAAGGCTTTTCCTTTGTAACCCAATATTTAGATGTGAAGACAGCTGGACACCTGCTACTTTGGGGGGGAAACCAGGTGCACAATATTAGTGGTCACATGCAAATAAATACCTCATAGAGGGATCGGTGGAAAGACCCACACCTGTGGTTAGACGCATACTCCAGTGCCCGGCATAAATTTCGAAGGCTAACAAAAAAACAAGTCAAACACATAAACAATAAAGTATTACTGTGCTATAACAGTACATACAATATACAACAATTATTATCCGTTGCTGTTGTTAGTTTATTAAATCTACAAGTCTCGGCAAATCTCCCTGAGCGAATCCGAATACACTAGCCCAAGGAGCCGACTCCTCTCCAAGGAAGAATCTGAGTTGGTGAAGCTGTATTGTTCAAAGCATCTTCAGCAAACAGGTCGACACCTACCATTAGAGACTGTGGCACACTGCATTCAGTTGCTTAATGGAGCTACTACGTACGTACCTTTATGTACATAGTGTCCCTCGGACAGGCCATTGGCCAGAGGTCACGTTCCCAAAATACTTCCATCCCGTCAAGCCACCTTTGCTCTCTCTCACCTGATTGACCTCCTGTCGGTTTGTTTCAAGCTGCCCTGAGCTGGTGTGTTCCTTCTGATGTCTGCAGAACAAACTCGATGATCCCTCCGATGTTGAAGTACTTGGCTTTCTTCAGGTTGCCACCACTTGCCATGAAGCTTACATGGTCACTCTCGAGGGTGTCAAGTGTACGAGGTGGAAATGGACCTCGCTCTGCAAGAGGTACTCTAAGGTGGTCCTTGTCGATGGTGCAGTACAAGCAGCAATGTTTGCCTATGTGAGATCGTCCCACTGTGGATGCCCGTGTAAAAACATGGATGCGATATCGCGCAGCGATAGCATATTACGCACATATTCGCGCGGGTGCTCCTGGGGACGTCGATTATCATGTACTTCTGACGGCTACGCATGTTTACGTGCAGAACCGCAGAAATACGCCAGCCAAAACTTTGTTTTCGGCGCCAAATAGACCCTCGGACTTCGGCTCTTGTCACAGTTTATGCGTCAATCTACGTTAGACTACGCCCACCAAGCGGCGAGCGATCGACTACGCACTTCTGCGCCGTTCTGCGTCGATTATCGTGTATACGCAATCGGCGCGAATGTCCGCGGACTTCTGACGGCTACGCATGTTTACGTGCAGAACCGCAGAAATACGCCAGCCAAAACTTTGTTTTCGGCGCCAAATACACCCTCGGACTTCGGCTCTTGTCACAGTTTATGCGTCAATCTACGTTAGACTACGCCCACCAAGCGGCGAGCGATCGACTACGCACTTCTGCGCCGCTCTGCGTCGCAGTGCGTACGCAAGCAACGACATAGCACGACTGTACGCAGGAATGCGCCGACGGAGGGACGCTGCACACACTGCTACATGGGAGGACAGAAAGAAAACTGAAGGAAAATGTACAAATTGAGACAACAGGAGAAAAAGGTATGACATCAGTCAAATAGTAGAGTGGAAGGAAGTTTACAATGTACTTTCTAGAATCAAACTCTATGTATAGGCATTTCTTTAGTGGCAGTGACAGTGACAAAAGAGCCAAGTGCATCTACATGGAAAATGTGGCTGCATAGTCTGGCCGAGGTGAGATTGAAATATTGATATGTTGTTTCTGACACAATAATTGGAGTAAGAACAGCTAGAATTTTATCCTGTAAAAAACCAAAGCACTCTATGAAGCCAAATTGGAGTTGACTGTCACAGTTGTGGTATTGGATGGTATAACTATTCCTCTTAGTTACTCGCTCGTATTGACGCGAGTAGTAAAGAGAACCATCTAATTCGATTCGATAAACTGTAGGCACATAAACACCAGGGAGCTGGGCACCAGGTAGCTCATCAAGACCTTCTGTGCTCAAGCACTGATTGATGGATGCAACAGCAGTCGGCTGGTGGATCTTGTATGCTATCCCTCCAAGGATTGCAATCCCCTTTGCTTTTGTCCACTGTTTGCTTTTTCAACCTTAAGAAATGGAATAAATGTTAAAACCTATAACCAAGATGTACCCTGAAGTGCTACAGTAGATACTTGGCTTGTTGTCTTATCAAACTGATGCAGTGTTTGTGGAAGTGCTTGCATTATTAGATAGGAGAGAGCCATCTGTATACAGTACATATATCAGCTTACATAAATCCACAATAATAGAACCTGTCTTATCATGTCTCTGGTTCCATGTAGCAACGTAGATTTCCTTTTCCCCATTGCGGAGGGGGAACGTACAACGAGATGGGCAAAAATCCTGACCAAAACACTAAACCCAAGGTGCCGACAGATGCGCACTAAGACACAGGATTGAAACATCACTCACATCATGACTCACATCACTTGAATGAAACATCACTCACATCACTTTTGATGAGCGTATACATATACAAACACGCGCTTTCGTGCGCATGCGTGCGCCTACTCGCGCTGTATGTCCACGTGCGCAAAGCGTTATACGCAAGTTTATTACGTTATAATTGCGCGTTCCTACGTTCGCGTAAAGTAACGCCGCTTCGCAATATAAACGTACGGCGGCACGCAATATTTTGCGTTCAATTGCGCGCCCAGGCAACGCGACCGCGCCCGCGCCCGCACCCGCGCGGTAATACACGGTAATGCGGGCAGCATTTTACACGGGTGGTTCACAAGTAAGCATAAACTTTACCACTTGCTCCTGAAATCCCATACATCTTTCCCAGGAACTCATAGTCACCATCGATGAAGACACGTATTGTGTAATCCCTAGGTGAAATACATCATTTCCAGCTGAGATGACCTAGGACTTACTTCCACTGAGTCCCATTCAGAGCGTCCATGTCACCCTGAAACCTGTCCAGTGCCACATGCAGGTTGGTCGTCGTGTCCTTGGCCTCGAAGATGGCAAACACACAAGTGTTTTGTGGGGTTGGGAGACTGTATGTTGACTATCTGAAAGTTCATCTTGAACGTTTAACCACCAGTATCACCTCCAATCTCCACCCACAGCTCATCATCTGGGATGCCAGCATGCCACAGAAGACCACCACCACTAGTTGTGCATATACTGTGTAAGCGAACTATTTATGACTAAATGGGCATCACCTCTGCATATTTTGTTGCAGGATCTGGAAGACCTTTGCCTTCAGATCAGGGAAGTAGGCGTAAGCAGCGACTCGAATCTCCTCTCCACCAGATGCGAGGGAGAAGGACATGGGCACTGGTTCGGAAATGAGATTATCTCCCACCAACTCCCGGGCAAGACACCGTTTTGCCTCTTCTCTCCTGCCATTACGACACCAGATGCCCTTAGCCACCTTGTCCAATTGCAACGATGATAATGTACATGCCTCATGTACTTACACTGCTATACTTTCTCAGTTTCTCGCATTTTGTTCCAGTGGAGAGCAAGATCTGCCTTCATTGCAAGACTTTGCTATTCTGCGATGGTGAGGGTTATTCCTGCTTTTTCAAGCAGCTGCTTGCGACTCTCTATGCTAAGAGTGGAGACCTCTCTCTCCAGCAGATGTTCTCCCTCCCCACCACTGACTGCACTCCTGTACTGCCCCACATCCCTCACTTTCCTGCGGGTGGTCCGTGGTGAGCATGCTGCTGCCTGAGGTTGTGTAACCTTCATCAAGCTCATGGACTACAAGGGATAAGGACATCTTATGTGCATGACTATGCATATGTTCACGTACTGGTCCGCCTGTCTTCAATGTTATTGTTGAGTTCTTGACGCTCTCCTCGAAGGGGTTCAGTGGCTCTGACAGGGGCTTCGCCTCACCAGGTGAGGTAGTCAAGGCACCACTCCCCAGCAGAAAGATTGTGGAATGACAACCATCCAAATATACTCCTTGCATTCTGAAGCAGACACACTCAGAGAGGCGCTTAATGTAATCGCGCTTCGTGAGCACACTCTTCACACTGACGCTGACATGGTCGGTACAGCAACTTGAGAGGTGTTGGTCCAGGTGTTTGACCTTCACACTTTCTCCACAGGCTCTGCACTTTGACAGCTGCTCTGCGATGAGGTCTAGAAGCAGAGCTGATGGTGACGTAGCTGATTCAGGGACCAGTGGGTGAGTAGCGTCACATGAGGTACAGTGGAGGGTGTGGGCAGACTTGGCTTTGCTCCGCAGGCACTGAGCACATATGTGGTGACCACATGGAATCTCTAGTGGTAGATGCAGGAGGTGTGCCCCTGCCATGCAAAGTCCAATATGTTGTGCACTGTCTGCTGGCTTTAGGATGGGAGATGTAGTTGAAGGTGGTGGAGCGACTTTGCTGATGTGGTCGAGGAAAGAGGACGCATTCACAGGCCGCCCACCTCTCCTTGTCATTTCAAAGTTATCGCATACCTAAATTTTGTGTTTTTGTTTCAAAAGTAGATTGTTGCTTTCACTTACACTGCAGCTCTCTGTTTGATGGACCATCCACTGAAAGGGCCCGACTGATGGTGTGTGCTGTTTAGTGATAGTATCATAGCATGAGCGACACATAAATGTTGGGTGTATGCTATGGTCATCTTCCTCCACAGAGAAGCCTAACACTGACTGGAGACCTTCCTTCTGTGAGAGGCAGGTGTACTGTCGAGTGGCCCTTCCTGATCAACCCCTCTTGACCCTTCCTCCACACACACGACAGTGGAGATCGAGCTGTTTCTCGTGCCAGTCTGCCATAGCTGTGACAAGCCTGTGTATTATGTATATATTTTTTTTTCCTATTTGAAGTGGCGCCACTAAATGCTTTTGTTTTTACAACTGTTTGACCCTTATTTTTGGTGTAGTACTACGCTGAAAAACCTACAGGGCTTCGGTGTGAGCGTCCAAACTCTGTGGTTGGTTGCGGTCCTTTTGCGGTATGATAAGATAAGCAACTGCTCAGTTGCTAAAGACGTGTTGTGGCTCTGCGCATATGACTGTATTGTGCAGTACAGGTAAGGAATGTGCCACTACTACTTCCTTTCGGAGATCTGTGGAAGGAAGTGGTGGAAACGATCGCTGGGGAAACCGGCTTAAACCGGACAAGGGCTCATGAATAATTAATTAGGCACCGTATATAGCGTATGAAAAATGTAACGTCTCAATGGGTCAATTAAAAACACACGTGCCTGGCGGCTTGTCTTTTTTTCTTATACTTAAACCCCTTTTCTCTCTATAGTATCAACATACAATATCTCACATAACATAGTGAAACACACAAAAACACAGCAGAACGCAAGGAACACACAAAGAACGAACCGAAGAAGCAAGACTTCTCCAATTGGGCGAAGCACTACTGAAAAACTTTCAATCTGGCATAGAATCACATGACACAAATATTTGCAGCATTTGATTTGCAGCATTCTCGCGCGGAGAGCTCAAAAGCGTGCAGCAAGCAGCTAGCCGGGTGTGATCGATATAGATTCTGATTCTCTACATCACGGCATCTCCGATGACGGACCCCACCAACAAGACCAAGCGACGTCCCAGCGGTCGGTGACTCATCTGGAACCTCGGGTACAGGAAGCGATCCCGCCGGCATTTCTCAGCCGTTCACAGCGGAGCAGCTCGCGCTTATCGATCGCATTGTCATAGCCCGCCAGAAACAGCACCGCAGTGGAAGCGGAGAAGACTCCGGACAGCCGACGGAGGGACCACCCCAAGACCCGCTACCGCAGACATCTTCCTCCCCGTCGGGTGAGAACGTATGCGGGTGCAGGTGTTAAATAGTTCCGGGCGGGTCTATCAAGTATGGGTAGGGCTCACACCTTAGCCTAGGTGGAAATGCCGACACACATCCAGCCGGCCAGTTATCACTGACAGATCCCGTGGCGATCACGGGAGGTGTTCTTAGAAACTGGCAGGATGGCTCGGCTGAGATTAGTGCAAGCGGGGATCCTGCGACAACGGATCAGCGAACGGTGTGTGTCATCGGATAAACGTCTGCCAATCACAATGCCGATCCTCCGGGGGTTAATCCGTGCGTGGACCCCACCGCTGGACTCTCCCGTGGTAGCTCGCGAGAAGCGTTTCGACTACGTACCGGGTTCTTCAGGTTGGGCGAAATCACGGCACAAACAGCCTCCGTGTTCAATGAGCGGGTCCACTTGGCCTGGGGAGACATGGCGGCCGACGATGCCTCCCCGCCGGCATCTGTAAGGGTGGGACTGAAGTGGTCGAAGTGCGACCAGGTTGGAGCCGGCGTGGACGTGTACGTCGGCAGGACGGGAACCGACGTCTGCCCAGTCACCCTGACGCTGCAGTACGTCTCGGAGAGGGGGCACTCTGCGGGAGCATTCTATATACGCAGGAATGGCACCCCGCTCACCAAGTCCTTCTTCGTGGCCAGAGTCCGCCAGACTCTCCTATCTCTAGGAGTAGACCCCCAGCATTACGCGGGGCACAGTATCCGAATAGGCGCAGCCACGGCAGCTGCTCAGGCCGGCCTGGAGGACTCCGTGATTCAGGCGTTGGGAAGATGGTACAGCAGTGTTCCGGCGCTACATCCGTACGCCATGTGGAGAGTTGGCGGCGTTTTCGAAGCGGATTGCGACGACAGGCGGCAGCGGATAGACCTCCCCCAGCGGGCTCAAGTTCTAGTAACTACTGTAAGACCAGGGATTGGTTAGAGATGCGAGATCGTTAGAATTCAAGGCATTACGGTATACATTACAAGACACGGTGAGCGATCAATATAAAAATATTTCAAATAAAAAAGGGGGGAGGTAGGGCATGAGAGGCGGATGTCCAAGAACTGGCGCAAAGAGGGATTACTTGGGGAGAGTATCGAACAGGTCGGTACCATGGCGGGAGAAAAGGATCTGGCTCCGGTCAACGGAGCCAGCCACCCACAAGTAACCCACCTGCTTGACCCAGCCAACATTAACGGGGACTAAGTGAGATGCGAGTAATCTTGTGATGGAAAAAAATGAAATGAGACAGTAATATATAGTGAGTTAAAGGCTGGGCGGGAACTATATAGGCCACCAGTCAATTACCCCCACAAATAAGGGGAGTTGGGAAGGGGTGGCCGCATATAAGCCCGGACATCCGCCAACCCGAGACAGGATCGGTGAAGTGGTCAAAAGTCATGGCAGGAGGGAAGGGGTGAGAGGCACTCACCCCTTCCTGTAGGGGAGACAGTAGTGAGTTAAGTGTTACTCGCGGTTGCCACGCTAGTAAATCGCGGAGAGTCCGAACATAGGCTATGTAGCTACACTAGTAGATAGCATGAGTGAGTAGATACACGGCGTCCGTTGTGACTTCTTGTGCCTCCAGAGCGAGCGGATCAGGTCGAGGTAAGTCAGCAAGGTTATGCAAATGGTTTGTTCGCTCGTTTTCATGCCATATCTCCCGAATGCAGTCGTTTCAGGAACGCCATTTTTTTTTATCAGGCTCTCGTGGTTCTGAAGCTGTTTATATCGCTCAACAGGTCACCTCGTAGCCTGTAGTACCATAATAGCTGGTGACAAACAGACACACACACACAGACCAAGTCGCTGAGCATGCGCGTGAGGGTTAAAAACACCTGAAGATAAAAACACAGTACCTGTAATGTGGGGATCTTCCTGTGCCTCCCAAAAGCTTAGTCTTTGACAGTTCCTTTAGGGATCTATAGAGTCTGAAAAACAAACACACACATAGGAACAAAATCACAGAAGAGTAAACCCTCAAACGCATGCACTACACTCATTGTGCCCATACGCATGCACATGTCAGTATCACAATCGATGAGCTGGATGCAATATATGGCACAAACCGCTACGGAATGCACGTAGTGGAAGAACAATATACCTCCCAGTTAAGCTCCACCCACTTCCCGTCCCACCCACACTAGCAACAGACCACCGCTTCGCTCCTCCACAGACTACTGACAAGATTTTAAGCGTTCCAAAAAGGGGCATTCAAAAGTCAACGCAAAAAGACACAAGATACTGCGTACAGATTTGGGATGAGTGGAGGAAGTACCACAAGAAATCTACGGGCACTGAGATTTTACCACTGCAGCTGCCACCCCACCAGCTCAATACGCTTCTTACAATGTTCGATTTTGAGGCAAGTAAGAAAACTAGTAAGGTACATCCTCCTAACACCCATCACTTCCTGCTTCATAAGGCATGTGCACCAGACTGGGAAATCAACAGACAGATTTCCCAAGGTTATCAGGGTTCAAGGCATCACTGGATGCCGAAAAAACAGTTGCAGGGGAGGAGTTTTGGTCCAAACAAACATTTTGACAAAGGAAGAAGAAAATAATCTGTAGGAAAATGGTCTGCTGGTTGATGCCACTCCACAGTCACTACTAAACACAGTACTTCGCTCTTAGGAATGGGAAAGAGAACTGGCAGCTGAGACGAGAGCCATGCCAGCAGAGGCAGTGGAGCATCTAGGGTTAAACGAGTACTCAGAATCACCACTCCAACCCAAAAGCCTGTAGAATTATTATCATGTATGTATCAGGTGTTCACACTGTGTCACTTTTTGTCTTGTCTTGGTCATGTTGTTTTCTCTCTCTGGTCACATATGTGACAAGCTCTGAGAAAACGACCCTTATGACGCAAAAATTGCAAAATATGTTTGTACGCTAGACCGAAAGTCCTATAAATGTTCTATAGTTTGCCGTTTGTTTCAGGGGCGTAGCCCGTTCCGTTGCGAAGTTATGAGCACAAGCGCAAGTGCCCTTCCGCTGCATGTAACGTAAAAATCTCGTCTAAACTTGAACTTCCGGTGTCAAATTTCAACCTCCGTATTCTCGTAACAAGTCCGTGTTACAACATTACGCGCACGCGTGCATCCGGCCGCATTCATTGTACGCCGCTAGGTAAACGTAGTAAATGGGAATTCCTGTTTACGTGACTCCGTAAAAGGTTTGATTATTCCCATATTACGTTTCCTTGTAATTCCGCGTAACAACGGCATGAGTAACGGTACCGGCCTGATACCCAGGGCCATGACTACGGAACGGAACAGAGTTAGTGCGTCAAACTTGCGCAGATTATAGACGATAGACAGAGGTACTAGAATACGGGGGGAAACGGGGATCAGTGAGAGTCGGAGGCTACCCATGGACAGTGTAGCCACCAAGGTCAAAGAGGTCATGGATGAAGCTTGGATTCCGTAGGTCAGCACATTGCTGCTTTTGCCCTTCCCATTCCTGAGGGCTTCATTCGTGCACAGTTTGGAGATGGAGCCTTCCAAATGCCCTCTGGGCAGTCAATTGTCATCGCCAATGAGAATACCAAAAAGGTGTAGAAGCACTGCCTTAGCCAGGTCGAACGAGTGGGTTGGACACTAAGCCAACTGGACAGGCGGCAGTTTGGAATTATGATCTTTGCCTTCCTAAATGACATCCCTGATAAGTTATACCACTTAACAGAGCCTGATCCAAGTAGTTGCTTTTTGAAGAAGCTGGTGAATGATGGAGATTACGATTCAGCGTTGTTCACTAGCTGGGACCAAAATGTGGAGATCCTGCCATAGTGCCTGTCACCATCATCTTTGAACACCTATTCATGTCTATAACTTCAAGTTAACTCTAATACACTAGTCAAAATACTGCTGAATTTTTCTGGTTTTGTACTGTTCACTGATGATGGTGACTGCATAGTCACCGAAACGTTAGAATATATTTTGACTAGTGTATTAGAGTTAACTTGAAGTTACGGATCCTCCTAGTCACAAAGGTCTTTTTGCATTTATTCATGTCTTTCTCTGTATCTGATTATTCCCATGTTACGTTTCCTTGTAATTCTGCGTAACGACGGCGCGAGCGACGGTAGTTGCCAGATGCCCAGGGCCATAACTACGGAACGGAACGGAGTTAGTGCGTCAAACTTGCGCAGATTATAGACGATAGACATAGGTACTAGAATACGGGGGAAAACTGGAATCAGTAAATTACGTAGTTTGCCGCCGCTACTAAAACAATACTACGTGCGTGATAAGGGTCGTTTTCTCAGAGCCTATCACATATTGTCTTACCCACTATGTCCTTGTTGCATCACCATCTTCGTAAAAGCTTTGCACATAATTTAGAAGATGATTCTATTTCCACGTGACCAAGTCAAGATTCTACGCAACCTTCAGCAGTGCTTTGCAAGGCTTTTCAAATTCTATCCTAAGAAAAGTTCAGCAGATGCACCATCGCTTGCACTTCACTTGAGGACAGCAATGACCCAACATTATCTTGCACATATTCAAGTTGCTCATTGGGTCACACAACTATCACACAACTTCAAGCTAGATATTGTATCTCGTCCGTGTCAGTAGCTAGGTACAAGACAAATCACTCGATAGGGCAACAGGAACGAGTCACTTGTAACTTTGGTGTCCATAAACAGCTCATAATGGAGCAGTGTTCACTAGAGACTCGAGGGAATGAGTCTTACACCAAATGTAAATGAATCAATACACTCTCCAGTTTCGATAGTTTGCCCCCAAATTTGCATATGGGTAGCAACAATTTGGAGCTTAGCAGTTATTTGCTTCAATGATAGATGACCTTCACTAACGAACATTTGTGACGTGCTGGATATGCTATCGAGAGAGTATAGATGAAGATATTTACAGAAGAAAGACAAGGCCACATTTAGAAGAAGCACCCTGAAATCCAGTACAGAAGGAAAAGAAGCAAGACATGCGATGTGCAGCAAGGAGGAAAGCAAGGGGTCAAAAAAGAAAGAGTCCTGTACTCAGCAATCGCTTGACCTCTTCTCCTCACCGCCTCGCCTGCTGCCCAAGGCCTCTCTCCTCGCTGTATATAGCAACAAGCTTCCGACACTGAGTGTGTATTATCCCTCCACAAAATCTGACTACTTGAAAAATCCAATTTGTGTTATTTTGTTGGCTGTTATGTTGAGTTTCATCTCGTCAAGTAACCATGACAGTAGCTATAATTCTGGGCATTGTTAACAGTGGCTGTAGTACATTCACCCACTTCACATCACCCTGTAATGTGTCGTGAATCTTGGTCGGCACTTTTTCAAACTTACTTTTTTGGCACGAGGACGATAATATTGCTTATATGCTAGGTCGAACAGTTATATCATTTGATTCCTCATGTTGTGATCTAGGTAATGACATTTAGATCGTTTTAACCCTCGGCGCTCATGCATGCAGCGAGGATTACAGTATTTGGTCCGTCCGTCTGTCAGTCTACGCTCATTCCCACAGTACGGGCTACGAGGCGGCCTATGAGCCATACCAGCAGATGGCGTGAAAAAACCCGAAGAAGCCAACAAGCACGGATGCGAGTGCAGGGTGCGATCGGTTGCGCACACGCCCCGCCAGCTGGCTACGCGGAACATGCGCAGACCCGCAAGATGCAACATGGTTTTGTTTTAGTTCACCAGGACGGGCAAGCAGTTTTTATAAGTGTCTCTCCACTGTCAGCTTTGATCTCTGTTCCCAATGGATAGCAAGTTGAGCAAGGTACGTATGTCAGTTCACGTGAGAAGAGTAGTTTGTGGATGCGGCCATGCCTTCCCATCTAAACGTAAAGCGCAGTCTGGCAAAATGTCGCAAGCTATGAAACACAGTAGAGCGGATATACTGCATAAAGCGAATGTAAGAGCCACTGAAACACTTGAGCAAACTTTTAAACAGGCCAGAGACGGATAAAGTGCGCAAGCCCGCAAGAGACCAAAGTTTCATCTTGTATTATAAACAAGTGTATACTGGGTAGACGGACCAGGACATTTCTACAAGAGACCTGACTACAAGGATATTTTACCATCACGCCCACGTATTGTTGATCCTGCCAATCCTGCCAACTTGTGGGTGACAGGCTTTGCTGTAGGAGATCAGCAATTTACAGCAGAGAGTAAATTATCCCTGTCGTTAAAGGCTTGTTCGTGTAGTACTTTTGGTTAGAGTCCTGTTAGTTGGTGTTAGGATGTCTGTGAAAATAGATTTTGGAACATGTATAGTCCAGTTTTAAACTGGTCTGGCCCAGTTTTAGTGTCTAAAAGAGTGCATGCTGTTTATGAACACATCGGTTATTTGCTAGACAGAATGAGCAAAAGAAGTCAGAGTATTTCGATTACAGCGAGTTGAGGACAAGGCAGTGTCTGCTGACTTACATGGCTTAATAACTAGCCTTTCGCCATTGAAGAAATCGCTTGTTGCTGGTAATCAGTACTATGACAGTGAAGTTTGTGACGGGACCCAAACCTTGCGGTTTGTTGGTTTTCACCAGTACAGAAAAAGCAGTTACATGATTCTATTGCAATGCTAAGGCTCTCTTGCGTGCTTTGCACACGTTATCCGTCTGTTGCTGTTCAAAGTTTGCACAGGTGTTTCAGAGGCCATAATTATTAGACTTACTCTTTTCTCTCGTCTTTAACAAGAGCCTATAAAGCTTGAGTGACGCTGTATATTTATTGCTAGTGTTTAAAGAAACTGACACTACAGCATCTGACTTAGCATTACGCTTGCCAGAGGTCTGACTTTGGTTTTCCCTCCTTGCGTGCTCCCCACACTCTGTTTCTCCAGGCCTTTAGCTCTATGAATGCACCTCTTTACAACCTCGAATAATTTGCACCACCAACAGACTACGATGCTACCTTTACAGATTATTCTTACTTGATCTCGCCTCTTGAAAAACTCTATGTTTTGCATTAT